TCTATGTTTAGCTACAATTCATATCAACCATTTTAAATCTGTACTTTCATTAATCTGTAATTCTCACTAAATCAATCTTTTACCTTATGCAGACTCCATAAACGTTAAATAATTACCACGTAACCTATCTTGTCGAATTTCGTAATTTAAATAATCACTACCTATGTTTCCATTATGAGCAAATCTTATCGACCAACTGGTGTCCATATATCAAAAGAATTTAGAAGTATTGTATGATATAAACTAAAAATTTGTGTTGAATTAACCATTAATAATCAGTATAAAAGAAATTATTTCCTTCAAGTCTTACAAATCCGAATTGCTGTTAATAATCACTTTCTTCGAGACTCCATAAATCAAATCATGAATCCGTTTGTGGGACCAATAGCACCATTATAGAAACAAGTGAAAAACATGACGTAGATGTGCATATTTAATTTATATCATGTCTATTCACAATGCTGTGAGTGGCTGCAACAAAATTAGAATTAATCTACAAAAGTAGTTCAGCGTGAGATGTAGATTCTCCGGTCTATTTTCGCTTTTTTGTCAATAGGTTATTTTCAAGATAATGAATGAAAGTGGAATTTTCCCACTTAATAGCGTTCTAGTACAAATAGAATCTGAAAATGGTACTAATGGACTAAACAGGCCTCTTACTGTTCAAAATTCTTGGTGCACAGTACTTGCAAAAACAGATGAAACGTACTGGTTGACACATTCTCAAGAAAGCATGCTCAGATAATATGATGGGAGAGGGTACTAGATTCAAAATGTTACGTGTAATGTGAATTCTGAATAAATTATCATGAGGTTCCAGAAATTTGGAAGATGGTGGATTGTCTGTGACACGGGCTTAGTCAGCAAGGAAAAATCTGATTGATATATCGGACGAAACACTTTAAAGAAAAATGGTAGAATTCTCCAGAGATTAACATCAAATAAACAGGAGGAAAGTATTTCCAAAACAACAGTTAGATTCCTGTTTCTACGAAATTATGCTGAATTTGAAAATACTTCATATTATTCAAATTACTTTTTTCTAGATTTCACCACAATGATAAGGTTGACCATATATAAGAATGGTTTGCAAAAAGTAATTTATTTATTTGAACACATAAATATTGGTACAAGAGGGCACCAAATATATATGCGCCACACAAAACAATGAGAATTGGAAGAGAAAAAAAAAGAAGGTAAGGGGCGTAAAAAAAAGGACAATAACGAACAGATTAGTGTGAGGCAGTGTAATAATAATATTAATTATAGTAATAATAGAGGAAACGGAAAGCTACAATCAGAAGAAATCCTTCAGCTAAGGAGGAAACAACCACTTTTTATGAAGAAAGTAAAAGAAGGTTACAGCAAGATCGCCACTGGCTTCTATTCTGAGCCATATCTGACAACGTCTCTAGCCACTGTGTTGCGCCATCTCTCGGACCCCAGCCAGGGAGTCGTGAAGGACCAACAGAAGTCAACCCTTTGCAGCTTTCTTTCATGCCACGACACCATGTCATACACCGACCACTCTCCGCTTTCTCTAACCAGTCCTAGTGTCGGCAAATAATGCACGACATGGAATTGTCTGGGACGACATTCGTAGAACATGTACAAGCCACCGAAGTCGGTGTTTCAAGATGGTGACACTGATTGCATCATTGTCTCTGTGCCCGAACACACGATGCCGAACCTCCGCATTACTAACATGGTGTTGCCACTGGATGTCAGCAATCCTTCGGAGACAACGATGATCGAACACGCAGAGTCGTCTAACGTCCTCAACTCGAAGAGGCCAGGTTTCACAAGCATAGGGCGAAACTGCTCTCACCGACGCGTTGTAGATCCGAACTTTTACAGCCAGACTGACATCACGAAGGCGCCAAAGATGGACCAGTGCTTATAAGCGAGACGTTCCGCGAAGCCGCAAGCGAATTTGCTCGCCATTTTCATGGCGTCATGAAGTCGCAACCAATGTTCATCTATACTTTTCGGTGGAATGGTAGCTAGCCTAGAAGCTAGCTCGGCTCGATACTTACTTGCAACAGAAGTTGCGACCAACTTTCTGACATGAATTTTTTGGTGACGATCAATCGATGGCCACTGAAAAGTCAGGTAAGATTGGCGCAAACTAGGGCATGATCAGAGTCCAGATAGGTACTCCAGAAGGAGCGGCAGTCTCATACACAACCACGCCAGCGGTAGCTGATCGCGATGTGATCAATCTGAGTCCAGGCTTGGGATGTAGAGGGAGGACGCCAGGTGGCACATCGGCGATGACTGTGCCGAAAGTTAGTGCTGGCCAGAAACAAGTTGTGGTCTGTGCATAGTTGCAGTAGACGGTCCCCGTTATCTGTCCTGCGACCAAGTCCCCATCGGCCACCTAAACGACTCTCTTCTGTGCCTAGACGCCCGACCTGAGCATTCAAGTCTCCGGCTAGTACTACAATATCTGTCGAACGCACTTTCTGGAGAACAGATAACTGGTGGTAGAAGTCATCCTTGATTGCATCCGGGCTGCAATCTGCCTCGGCTCTAGCGCTTAGCGCGACACTAACGCCAGAGAGACCAGACGAAGATGCCACAGGGACTCGAGATAAACGCACGTAAAACAAGGTTTTTGAAGCGACAGATGGAGAGCGAGTTTGTAGTACTTCACTCGAGTCTCGAATACAGGTCTCGGATAGACAACAGACGTCGAAATTAAAACTTTCCAAAGACATAACCAACCCTATCTGTTTGTCTGACCTGTATTAGTGTGCGAACGTTGAATGCAGCCAGTTTGAATGGCATATGTGGTCTCAGAAAGACAGTTTCAGTATTCGTATTCGGTAGTACCATTCAATTTTTGATCAATAACTCGAGATCATTTAGACAGAACAAACTTTGCACCATAGGCGAGCTGCTGTATAAGTCTAAAAATAAGGATACATAAAGTGGGAATAAAAGAAAGTGAATAAATGGCGTGTTAAATAATAATAATAATAACAATAATAATAATAGTGTGAATCGTTTGATTGTTAATCGAAGCAAGACAAGTATTTTCCATAAATATCGACATTTCATCATATTTGTGTGCGGGCTGTGACACTGCCCGTCTGCCCAGACCGAAGAAGGTGGTTTTCTTAGGGAGCCATACCCCGAGCCCTTGACCTAAAGGTCTGACTCAAAAGGCAGTGGAGCATCGTGCAGTCCCACGGTAGCCGGTGACCAACGATTGGTTCATATGGCATTTGTTCCTTCAGGATACTGGAGCCCATGTGCACCATTGATTTTGGATCCGGTCAAAGAGCCGGACATTTGCTTTTTATCCTCTCATTTTCGTAAACAACACCCCTGCAACGAGAAGGCAGTGAGTAGGACTTATCTGGCAGAGGCTGTATACGCGTGGCCGTGTGAGAGTATTTCGAGAGGGAGGGCGAACCCACCCCGCTCTCGGCCATACCAAGGCATTCGGGGGCCCTAAAAAACAAAGATTTGTGGTATAATTGAGTTGATTTGGAAAGTCTCTTATTCCTCTAAATAAATGTTTTCCAGGCTGAGTCTTAGCACTATAAACATTACACTATGTGTAAGCTTAAAAAATAAATGAGCTCGTACAATTCGGTTACAGTTGAGGTGGTCGTATATTTTGAAATCTTTATAGATGCCATTATTTTAACTATTTTCTATATATCCCCGTAAACAGCATGTGTTGTCTAACAGACAAGTTGCTTAAACACTTTCTTACTCTAACCGTTTGCTTGATGGATTAGGTTTCTGTCACTTTGTCAAATAACAGAAATTCACATGTCAACTATTCTTGAGAAGTTTTCTATGGGTTTACATTATTCACTTACTCTTTGTATAATTACAGTTTCCTCTGCATTTTTTGTCGTTGAGTATTTGATTTGGAAAGCACACAAAGCGAAATTACTTTGTATAAAGTACAGAACATTTTGGTCTGTAAGTGGTATTGTATTTTATGTGGTGTATTAGGAATTCAATTTTGTATGAGAATGAATTAACTTACTGTACGCATCATGTTTTTACAGTTCTTTAACAATCGTCTAAATAAAACTTGAAAATTCAGATTGAAAGGTAGAGTAACAAATTTCCTTGGTGATTTCCGCAACTGGCCCGGTTGAACCCCACTGGTCACTGCTTCTCATTAGAACTCCAGGATATACATCTTGAAGTCAATCACTAATGAGCATATGTCAATTAGTATCAGGAGGGTTTTTGTGGAGATTTTAGTCATTTCAATAGTTGAGATCATGAGTCAATGTATATAAATATTACTGTATATTAGAATAAAGTCTGATGAATAATGTTCGCTTATATATGTTGTTTTAAATTTACAATATAGGAATTTTTCAAATTTTTTGCTTTAATAAGATCATATCAGTTTTTTTGAATTAAATTATGATAATACTATTTATTATTATAGAAAATATTTCATCCATCATAATAAATTCAATCATTCCAATCTGTATTTATTTGATTCATAATTTTAAAGTTCAATCAATTTTACGTGATATTTTTCATTGGAATAAAAGATTATCTTTTATCTTTTCCTTAACACATCACAGAAATTGTAAACGAATGATTATTCCCTTTTTATATAGTGATAGATTACAGAACTTACAATGGTCTAATAAGTATGTTCATAAAAATTGAATATAATTCAAGATTTATTACTGAATTTCGAAAACTACTTTTTTTTATATTCTAAACTTTATTTCAAATTTATTTGAGTATTATGTCAATTTCAAATTAATATTGAACAATAACAATATCGAAATAATGAATATTAAATAAACATTCGAAAGTAAGAGATCCATTAAAAATAAATTTATGTTCAACTATTTTTCGTGGGTGAATAAATATTCAATTGTCATAAGAATTGAGAGTAGATTTTTATTTAATTTCCGAAAATTTCATGTACTTTATGTTCAGTTTCAATGATCAGGAACTATAGAGTTAAAAAAAATTACTGGATCTTTGAAAATATCATTTATAGTCTTATTTATCAATTGAATTCAACAAAGTTTAATTATCTGAAATCTAATTGTACCTGTGATACTATTAGACAATTATCAAAAACGTTATCATTATAAATCTACAATTTGAATGAGATTATGTAACTGGCATAACAACTTAAACAAACAACTATTGAGTGGCAGCACAAAGAAAGAACGCGAAATTATTAAAATGTATTTCTAAAGGTGATTTCTTCACACTATATCTTTTTCCAGACATTACTGATAACAGTGAATTTCTCCTGACATCACTCAACGTATCAATGAATTGAGGTCTATTAATCTGATCATTTTATACGGAGTTCTAATTTGTTTCAATTTGTTGTTGTTCATTATCTAAACCTAAAGCTCTACTAGCTTTCTGTAAACGTTTGTCTTCTTGTAAAATTAGTGGTAATAATCTGTTCTTATTTATACTAGCCCGTTTTCTACAGGCCAATAATAATCTACATTCATTATCTAACAATTCTTGTATAATAGCCTTTTGTTGATCAATTGTTAGTGTTCGTTTTATCCAACGTCTAGCAGCCCATATATTTAATAATATAATTAGAGTCAGAACCAAACCAATCGTTAGTAAAACCACAGTTGTTTGTTTCAACGCTCTAGTTGTGATTGGATATTCAATTGATTGCCATAAACTAGGTTGCATTGGATAAATTTTTAAATAAAACTCATTAATTAAATATATCCTATTAATAGATGTCCGTGGATTATCGGCTTGACTTGGTAAACGATACGTTTGAATAAATAAAAAGCATTTCCACGTTCCATGATGTGTTAAATTTAAATAAGGAATTAATTGAATGCGTCGATTTAATCGTAAAGCTAAGTTACGTGAATATTCATAGCCATTCAATTTCCATACTATTTGAGCTGATTCCATCCAAACAGCTGTATTATCCAATGCATTAAAATATCCTAGATTAGAATAAAGATAAAACGGATTACCTTCTAGTGCAATATACTTTACACCAGTAACAATTAAGGTATAAAAGATTGTATTCCACTTGTGATTCCCAAATGTCATTTGGCAGGTATAAAAACCTTGATCATTGTGATCTATACTTGGAAAGACTAAATATGTATCCTCCATGTAAAATGAAGATATCTCTGGCAGTAGATTCCATTTCATTTCTTCATCAAACAGTCTATTTTGATTATCCTTAGGCTTTTTAGTTCTGTAAAATCGTTCAGATACAGATCCTGAGCTAGAATCGGTTGGATTTATCGATCTTCCATTTTTAAGCCATTTTATAGTCAAAGTATGCTCTTTAAATAATCGAGAGGTTAGACCGAAAATTCCTCGAGAAGTTAATTTTTTGGCAAGGTTGTAAGCTGGTGTTACACAGTCCATTCGAGCACTTTGCTTAACATGCATTCGTAGAATATTTTGATATGCATTCAAGTTAAGTTGATCTTTTGCAACCTGGAAAGTTATTTTGTCAGCAATATCATCAAGGCTACTAAAATATTCATCTACACAATTATGATCACATTCTGTAGTCTGATGACTAATCCCAGAACAATTGAACCCATATGGTTCTGGAGGAGGATTGTTACAAAATCGGTAACGTGTCCTACTTCCTGTATGACATCCTTGCCCATTAATGTTTTGCCCACCTGTAGGAAGACATGATGACCATGAACTCCATGTTCCCCAACCTGGAATACGTGGGCAACGTGTATTGACAAAACATGGTATACATTCTTTAGCTTGAGATTCATATGGATTTGAACTTTCACACATCACTGTTGATGACTGTACATTACCATATCCATCAAGACAACTTCGAACTCGACATCTTACTCCATTACCACAAGTAACGGAACAAGTTAAGGGTGTCGAAGACCACTGACCCCATCTATATTTTAAATTTCTACTAGCAAAGACATAACTAATTAAAAGACAAATTATTATGAACCAGGAACAGTTTAGCATTCTTCAAATAAGTTAAGTATAAATCATACTTTGAATGCCTTACAATATATTTACATCGATTTATTGATTATCTTAATAGATTATCAATTTAAATAATAGACGATAACAGACAGAATATATAAGAATGTATAAGTATATTAGGAAGAGATTTCAATCAGTTAGATAAACTTTACTTATTCAATCAAGAATACATGCCGAGGATAAGTCATTTCGGTATATATCATGGCTTGTTAATTAGAGAATTATAGAACTCTATAAGTGGGAATTAATGGAAAGTAGAAAAATGAACACTTATGAAAGTTCACAGTCATAAATATTTTGATCTGTTTACGTGATAGTTATAAATCGAGAAATTATTCAAGTCATTAATTTAACTAGGATAACGGATAAGCAATCCAGTTTTGAGATTAACTAAAGCAATACCTGGTTACATTACGAAACCTTAAGAAACTTTAAGATACAGATAAATTGTAAACATCAATTTGAAGGAAAATCAAAATTAGCTGATCACGATTATACTTTTTTAAAAATTAGTTTGTAGATCGACGACAACTAATGACTACTGATTAACAAAGACGATTGTTTCTCTGATGGAAGATCATTGTATTCCAAATAAAGTAGTATCTTGAAAACAAGGAATGTCACTAATCTGCGTTATAGAGGGCAAATTATGAAGATAATCAGTTTGCGGCTACTAACTAAGAAGATATTCTGAATATGAAAGGCTCTTGAGATAGTTTGGTTTACAAAGTGATAAATGATTCACGTAATATATATTACAAGGTGCCCAAGTGATCCACTCACAACACAGGTTGGTTTTATCTATAGATCAGGAAAGTAATAGCTTCATCAATAGAGTACGAGTGAACATTTCGAGTTTTTAATCAACATAGTCAACTGTATGCGCTATGTTAATGGTTGAATCAAATATACTTGGGACCAAATTAAAATGTACTAACTTAGGGATCGAGACAAAAGTTGTACTGACATGTTAACTATATGCCTGAAACAATAAGGGAGACTAACTGATTCCTGAGTAGTAATAGTAAACTGTCTACCTCTTAGTACTGGACAAATCTTATTTATTATAGGAATAAACAATGAGGGTTCGAATTATTCTATGAGGATGAGTTTCTTTACAATCATAGACAAGTGTAGAAAACAAATAACTTGAGTTTGTAAACTATTTTAACTGCATTCAGCTGGCTAGATTTGGTTTACTAAAACTTTATAAAGATTTTTTTACTAAAATTATGCGAACCCGAACTACAAGCAAATCTATCTGATAAAACTACTAATCAGTTAAATCCTTTTAATATATGAATGGTTTTACCAACGAAATAGCATTTATACGACACCAGAAAATGTACACGTATATATGAAAACGTCGGTTTACTGTTGATGACACTATTGGAAACAAGTAATTAGTTATTATTAAGTGATGATATCAGATAGTTAAATCTATATCAAGTTATTCTCCTATTTAACAGATGTGAGTACTGTTGAATTACATCAAGTGATGAGATTAGTATAACCTTTAAAAAGATGTGTCTAAGGATAGTTCACATTGCAATCTGATATCAGCTACAGACAAATGTTTCGTTCTGGTCTGAGGTTCTTCAGCAGATAATTGATGGCTATTCATTGAATCGGGACTAAAACCTTCAGTTATTACGGTGAGCACGATACCATTCACTTACAAAGACTGAATTCAATTATCATTATTTTCGAATTTTAGGGATGTAGTTAGCATTTCGGCGCTGGTAGAAAAACAATCAATGCAAGCATCTGTACAAATATATTTTAACGTGGATCCTCTTGTTGTCTACAATTACGGCATTAATATACACCACAAAGTAGGAACTAATAAAGTTATACGATGAATTATACAAATACTTGATAAAAATAAAAGGAAATCGAAATAGGGAAAATGCAGTACATTATATACTTTCGTAATGAATCACATATTTGATATACGAAGATGACTATTCAATAGTGGCTAATGATTCTTTCAACTGTTCATCTGGGCAGATTATTTCATCATTAGTTGCCAGGAGAATACAATAATGATCAAACAACTGCATTGTCACTTCAAGGTCATCCAACAGTTCCAAATGTTCTACTCTAAAATAAAAATATAAGCAATAACGAACTCATATGAAAGCTACACCTTATAAATGTATGCCCAAATAGGTAAAGTGAGATTTAAGAAATCAAAGTTAAATAATTAAATCTTAATTCTCATAAGGATAAGACTAATCAGCAGTTGACCGCTTGGATGAATAATTTGTGTGGTAGAATCAAGTTTACCTGGAAATTTTTCATCGCGAGGCTAAAAAATAAGCTTCAAGCTCTTTCAAAGATTAGATAAACTCTGACTGATTAACATATTAAAGTATTGTATAGATTGTATATAAATTCACTGGTCAATGTTGTTATTTAAACAAATATTTCTCATAATTACTTTTACATCCTGATAATGCATCAGTTTTGAGAGAATCTTAAAAACAATAACACAAAAAACTTTGTATCGTCATCTCACATTTGGGATAGTATTTACATTTATGTTCATTTAATGCGTTCAAACTTCATTTATCAATAGCTTTTTTTTACAGACTTCTACTTGATCGGATTTACTTTTACATAGTTTTATTTATTTATTTCAACACATAAATAATGGTACAAAGAGGCACCAAATACATATGCGCCACACAAATCTCATTCGATATGTGTGAGGGCTGTGATACTGCCCGGGTGCCCAAACCGAAGCAGGTGGTTTTCTTAGGGGGCCACACCCCGAGCCTTCGACCTGAAGGTCTGATCCACAAGGCAGTGGAGCATCGTAAGGAGATGCAGTCCCATGGAAGCCGGTGACCAAAAATTGGTTCATTCGCCATTTGTTCCCGCAGGATACTGGAGCCTATGTGCACCATTGGTTTGGAATCCGGTTAAAGCGCCGGACATTCGCTTCTCGTCCTCTCATTTTCGTAAACAACACCCCCGCCACGAGAAGGCAGTTACAAGTTTAGAAAAACGGATATATAGGACGTTATGATTTTATCTACTGGCATATCATTTCAAGTGCAAATCCTCACTTCAGGTAAACTCACGTTATTTTTTTTTCAACTCAAACTATACACATATTTATGAAGTGAAGGTCTGATTCAGAAATTTTAATGCCTCATATAAAATGTTTAGATTCAAATGTTATTCGTCTTTACATCAATATTGGAAATGATCATGAAATATGAGACAGAAGGTTAGTGATAATGAAAGATAAATTTTATTTTAATATGTATTATGAAGTTGAAAAACGACCCAATTGAATTTTACCTGTATCGAGTGCTGGAAGGTAACATCTTATAAACTTGATTTATAGTCCATCCTTTGGCTTTTTTCCAACCAGCCTTAAAAAATCTGTAAAAAAGAATGAAAAACGATAACAAATATGCAGATTTTATAAGTGAATGAATGTTTCAGCTGAAGATTTGTATGGAAATTAAAAGTGTTTTTTTTATTTGAAGTCCTGATGATAAAAGTGAATTTAAAAAACAAGCAAATGATTATTCTATGGACAACTTCAATCAACCGAAATGAATTTATCATGATGTGGAAATTACATTAACGTTTAAATTTTACGCTACGTATTAACGTTACACATAATGGGTTTAGTCCTAGTACTATCTGAAAACACGAGTGATGTTTGGAGATGACACCATGAACATTTGAATTTTGATGCAAACAAAATAACAGACAGGTTTGTTACGATTTTGAAAAATTAAAACAACTGTATCACCAGGATCTGTATTCAAGACCCCAGTAAATTAATGTAAGCTCTCAACACCGAAGTTGTCCTTGAGTAACAGTTACATCAGAAATTGTTAATATGTTAACAGTAGGTAAACAGATTAAAGGAACTCTTATGAAAACTTTTTTCAAGTGAGTTTAAATAAATATTCGTTTTAACAAATAAATAGCTATTCTTCATGACTAAGTCAAATATTTTGATTATTACTACTAATCGACTAGCACTACATAACCATTTGATTTATTCAAACAGTAAGTGCTTTGAACTAATTACCTTATGGAGGAAAAAGGTTCTGGAACTGTATTATTTCACCTTACAATGTAATGAATCAGTGAATATAATATTCGATGGAACTTGAATCAGTAATTGCTATGTTTGAAGAAATTACAAGATCACCTAAAGTCGGCGAACGGAGTAAAGGATCAGTAACAAGACAAGCTAAACTACTTCAATTCGTCTCAGCCCTGGTAACCAGAGGGAGAAGACCAGGTTTAGGGAAAGGTGCATCCTAAAAGCAACCAGAAGCACGAACCAATGACATTTAGGGCACTTGCAAGTGAGAAATACAATCCGAAGGTAAAAATGGATGCTTTTGGAGTGAAACCAAGAAATCCGAATTTCTTAAATAAATTTCCAGAAATAGGATGTTTACCAAGTCATTTATAAGGATCTATCATCACCATCAGTAATCACCAGTCACATTTACATATGTGGAAATTAAAATAGAAATCTCACCGTTCTTCTTGAGTAGCCAGTGAATGACATGCATTAAGACCAGGAAGCTCACAGGAACGAGCACGAAAATTTTTGATCATAATAGAACCAAATGAATCGCTCATATTAACCTGCATAGTAGATAACACAGGATTCGAAAACAGCGAATAAACACTCCTTTTTCAACTAGTTTTGCATCATGACGATAATAATGACAATGATAACAATAATAATTGTAATAATAAAGTCGATACTGATCAGTTAGTGGCGTATGAGATAGTGTTATAAATTCATTAGTGTTTATGCAGGTAATTGAGGATAATTGACGAAATAACCAAAAGATAAGGGGGATAAAATAATTAATATTCAGAGGTACTAATTACGAAATAAATAAATTGAGTATGTACTCATACATAAGGTAACATAATACGAGAGGATTGGCGAAATTTCGATAAGAGATCGAATGTTTATAACAGTCACATAAGCATAGTTTTTATAAAGAGAGTTAGTGTAATAGGTCATTAGCAAAGAAGTGATAGTCATTAAGTAAGTAGCGATCATAGTGTAAGTCCAGTTTGTATATTAATCGGGAGAAAAGATAACATGTAAAAGACCAATCATAGGACAGAAAAATAGCTGCCATTAGGTGACAACAGTAACTCATCTATTAGCCTAATGATAGTCAAAAAAATCTCGTTTAATTTAGGGCTATAAAAACACGACGAAGTAAAGCTACTTTCGAATTCATGTGATTAACTTCCATTTGAAGTTTGCTGTGATGACACCAGTCAATCTGAAAGTGAAATATCAATTGTCAAATTTTATGAACCAGGAAGATATAAAAATCACTCTGAACTAGAAATGTATTAAATGAAATTAGTCATTTAGCTATGAACAATATAAAATTTGGAATAAACATTCATCGTCTTGCATTGTTGCACCTCGAACTAGCACAGGAAATTAAGATGAAAATAAAGAGTCGAAATGATTAAAAACTTTTGTGAACATTAAAGGAATTGATGTTCAATACTGTGGGTTATCATAAAAATAAAGCCAGGAACATATTCTTGAGTAAAAACGGTTAAACCAAATTAAAAAAGTAGTTAGGGTTATCTAACTATTTTGGTCCGTAAATCATCCATTAAACTGCTTATTAGGTATTCTTCGTCCGCAATTTGTAGATGGACACACTTAATAAAAGCTGTTTGCTTTCTAATTAAGTGCTCAAACTTCGAATTTGTGTCAAGGCTCAGTTTATTTGAAACGTCTGCATACGGACAGAAAAATATTCCTTTGAAGACAATGAATTTTATGGGTGTATGATAATGTCTACGAACGAAAATAAAAGTGTAATAATGACAGTTAGAGTTCAACAGACCTCTTCATTTCAAATAACGAGATAACGAAGAGCCTGGAATTAAAGTAGTTAAAGAACATTTGCTCACAGATTCAGGTATGAAAATGCCATTATACTCAAAGGAAGCTATTCAAAACGTTTTTAAGTGTCTCAAAACATCTAATAAGCCATTGGGGCTGAAGACAAAAAATCGTATATACGGAATATTCTGTAACTGAAGAGTTAGAGAATAGTAACTTTAGCATTTGTTAAGAAAATGGAGTCTCGCTAGCTTATCATGATTATATTTATTAAAATATTTCTGATCTATACCACGGATTTAAGTTTAAATAACTGAATAGTATTGATATATTTCATATATTAGATGTGAATGACAGATGAAACTTGACATGGTTTTGCTCACGTTATATCTACAAACGAACAAAAAGTTCGACATAGTCCTGTAAATGTTACAAATAACATACGTTACCAAGGAATACAAATATGTCACGGTACATAATGCTTGTTGCTGGAAATAATGATAGTCTTGGTATACTTCAGAATTTGATGTTTAAACTAGGTTTATCATCAGAACAAGAGATGTCATCATTATCCACTTTATAAATATAATTATATTTTTCAGTAAGTTTTGCGTGAAATACCACGAAGTCATACATACATCTAAATGTATTTATAATTGATCAGTAACCGTGAAAGTGAGTTTAAAAAAAGTATACTTACCTGTTCATAATGCAGGAATGAAGCACGTGGGAAGTTTACCGAAAGACCCTTTATTAACTGACAGCTTGCCTCTGGAGACATATAAACAAGTACGCATTCAGCAAGGAAGAGAGTTGGGCAACTTTTAGAACAACCAGCCCCATTAACTTTTGAACATAAAACATCTAGAAGCTCTTGAACGGATCTTCGTAAATCGAAACTCAGTAAGTGAAACCGTCCCGTTTCAAAAACGTAGTGCAAATTATCATGTGGTGTGTCGACAACAGAAGTCTTTTGATTTATTGTAAGGTTTAAATTATCGTCTTTAAGTGGTGAAGCATCTGGGTTCAAAGTATAAAGCTTTTCGTTAGATATATAGCATACATATAAGAGAATATGGTAAAATGAAAACGTTGAACGGTCAGTCATTCAATATTAGCAGAACATATATTAGAAATGGATATGATAAACAGAAGCTAAAGCTTAGAATGCGATCATGTAATACTAAAAAATGTGCGGAAAGGGGGGGATAAGCTAGTATGTTTATCCGAAACTATATGTAGGGACGTGGTAAAATAACAAAGAAATAAATACCACTGATTGGTAACTTCCGCCCGATAAAATAACCGTACCCATGTTTATAACACAGAATTGGCAATATTAATATTGAGGGCAGACCACTAAGAAAAAGCATATACCAATGCTTCGGGGTCGGCACGGAATTCCAGATCAGTACATGGAGTATTTATGTGACAGGGCTTGAAATCAACAATATATACATCCGATTAGTGCCCTTGTCTTACTTTCGAATGTCACAATACCTCAAACTAATTGTCCTGATTTCGCATGGTTTACCTGATTTAAAAAAAATTAACATGGTTAGTATCCTTATTTTGATTTTACTGGATTGCTCCACTTCAAATATTTTCTTTATGGTGTAAAATGGCTTTAATGTAGGTTGGATTGAATTGATGTCTAGCTTCACTGTTTCTGTTTGTCGTTTAAGGTTTCAAGATTCTTTTGGACTATTTTCATGCGAATCCACACGATGTCATTTACCGATACTCAGCAGTATCGGATTTCTGACAATTAGACATGAAGATACTATAAAGAATGAGGGACATGCATACTAGACTTATTAGCTGCTCACATAAACGGATGACAATGGTGAACGTCGAGAATCACACTTTGTAAAAATAAAATCCATACATAATTCAGTACAGCGCCACTAACAATGTGAGTTTGTAGGGCTTAGTAAGTCCGGGAACAAATAGCCAAAATATTGTCTGATAAGCAGATAAAGGTACATTGAATTATAAAATATTAACTGTCCGTAAAGGATCAATTTACTTTACATACAAGAATAATAAAAAGTGTGCGAGTTACTTGTTGATTCAAGCAGCCTTCTTCGTTGTATTGTCATAGCTTTTTGCTGAATGTTAGATGCCAAGTCTACTTCGACGTATAACTCTGGGGTCTCCTGAGCATCTTTTAGAGCGAAGTACAATGTATCTGAGCCTGCACCAAGGTTTACAATTTGGCAGGCCCCACCTGTGGACTGGATAAGGTAATTTGTATCTTTCAAAAGTAAGGAACCTTTATAAATGATATGGCAATCGCTCTGAATGCAGTTGTTCTTATAAAATAGCCACGATTAATCTCCGGAGTTTTGTGTGACGGAGAGGAACAAAAATACCTTATATACTTGTCTTTCCAGTATCCACGAGAAATGGCATGAGCTTTACTGGATGTAGCGTCGTCATTAGTTAGTTGTATGATCTCATCTGTAGGACTACTCATCAGAGTAACGCTTAGCGCATACAACCCGCGAAACACAAATGGTTCAAATGGTTGTGGACGGAATAGAAGAAGCTTTCGCTTAACAGGCTTCCGTGTCTAGTAGCAGGGGATCACCGAATCCTCCAGGCAGGAACCTAGGTATGTTAACAGCAAAGGAGGAAAGAAAAAAAATTGGTAAATCATAGTGTGATACTGTCCTTGGTCCTTATGAATAGGTCAAGTTGCCTCTTAAAGGACTCCTGAGAAGTCGCTTGGACTAGCTCGGCCGGCAGCGAATTCCAGCTTTTGACAACTCTTAAGGAGTAGAAGTTGTGTCTACATCCCGTCTTGCTATGTTGAGTTTCCAGTTTCTGGGTATTACCCCTTAGGTTAGTATTTGAACTAAGCTTGAGTAGGTGTTTAAGAGGATGTCCAGAAGTGTTAAGAATAATATAAGCCATTAATAAATCACCTCTAAGACGCCTATACTCTAATGGGTAAAGGTCTAGTGAATGGAGGCGTTCTTCGTAAGGCTTAAATTTGAGTCCTCGAACTGATTTCGTGGCTCGCCGTTGGATACGCTCCAAAGTGACCTTGTCCTTTTGGAGTGAGGGGGGAGTACTATATTTCCGTACTCTAAATGGGGACGGATAAAACTATTGAAGACTGTATGGAAAGTTCTCCCGTCAAACTGGCCAAAAATGCGCTTCAATGTTACCAGTGCGAGGTTTGCTCGGAAGGCATTTTTGTCACAATTAGCGTAAGACTTTAAATCATGGGGCACCAGGACTCCTAAATCTTTTTCGACTTGGGATACTACTAGAGAGGAGTTTCCTAAGTTGTAACTGTAGTTTGCGACATGTCGCAGATGAACTACTTTACACTTTGAAGTGTTAAAGGTAAGTCCGTTATCATCTGCCCAACTTTGAAGTCGAGTCAGATCCTCCTGAAGTGCCTGTGTATCGTCTTGGTTGCGTATCTCTCTCCAAAGTTTCACGTCGTCGGCAAAAGTAATAAGTCTGACGCTACCTGTTGAGGAAGATCGTTTATGTAGATCAAGAAGAGAAGAGGCCCTAATACTGAGCCCTGGGGGACCCCACTAGGACATTCCATAGCCTGAGATAAAGTGAAATTAACCCTAACCTTAAAGTGTCGATTTTCTAGGTATGAAGTAAGCCAATCGATTAGAGGTGGTTTGATACCTAGTCGTTTGAGCTTATTGATAAGACACAAGTGGTTAACTTCATCAAAAGCTTTTGAGAAATCAAGGTAAATGATATCAACCTTTCCCTTGCGATCGAGGATGCTTGTCCATCTGTCCACCGCAGTCAGCAGGTTGGTTATACAAGAGTAACCATTCCTGAAACCATGCTGTTGGGGTGAGAAGAAATTTAAGGACAGTAGATAATCGTTTAAACCATCGCATATCAGGGATTCCATGAGTTTTGAAGGTAATGACAGAAGAGCCACCGGCCGATAACGTGAAGGTTCATTACGTCGACCCCCTTTGAAAATTGATGTGATGTGAGCCAACTTCCAATTTTCCCGTAGTTTGCCTCGGCTTAGCGAGTGTAAAAACATCACACTAAGCGGCGTTTCCGGGATTGAGGCTGCTTCCCTCAGTATGGCAGAATGAACCATATCCGGGCCAGGAGAAGTATCTAGTCTTAAGTGCTGCAGTTTCCGGAACACCAAGTCAGCGCTTGGGTCCACTTCGGAAAGTCCTGTGGAATTGCAGATAAAACTGTCGTCAATAAAGTTGATGTCAGCCGGCTGAAATGTTTTAGAGTAATGTGCCGCCAGAAGGTTAGCGGCGTCACCATCGTTGTCGGTCGGGCCATTAAGACCTAGCAGTTGAGAAACTCCTGTTTTGGCTTGATGAAGAGAGGCTGCATAACGGAATAGGCTTCTAGGGTTCAAGGCAAATTTGTCCATAAGCTTTGTCTGATAATGAAGCCTGTCTTCTCTTATAGCCTTCGTGCATATGTTCCTGATATGTTTATATTGCATATACGCTCCGTCGTTATTAGTTCGTTTGTATTCCGCCCAACAGTGCCTTTTACGGCTTAGCAGGCGAAGGGTACGGTTCTTGATTACTGTAGGTGGCTTACAGCTTTTGGGAACCGTTTGAGGAACTGAATGGTTTGTAGCACATAAGAGCGTGTGCAGTAAGAAGTCCCAATGACCGTCCACATCGAGTTGGGGGTGAACATCCCAAACCACCTATTGTAGATAGTCATGTAGAGCTGGCACATTCAGCCGTTTAAAATTCCAACGCAAATTATTGTTGGGATACCTTAGCTTAGTTTTTATGACAAAACTGAAGGCTATGACGGCATGATAGCTCTTTCCCAGAGGAGCCAGGATTGAGAGGTTGTCAACTAGGAATTCTTCGTTTGTGAATACACAGTCTAAACGCGATGGTGTCTGACTGTTTCTCCAACGAGTTGCCGACCTCACATTTTCATATAAGCCCAAGTCATCGATGAGGTTGAAGAACCGAGCTTCAATTGAGTTGTCGCCTCCAGTGTACGTGTGTTCCGCGAAGTTGACTCTAGGGAGATTAAAGTCCCCTAGAATCAGGATGTGTGTGAAACCGAGACGGGTAGAGCGGGATAGTCCTTCCAGCATACGACTATCGTACTCGATGTCAGCAGTTGGATTCCTGTAAATGACACCGACTAGACACCTCGAAGTGCTAGACAATCTTACAGAGCACCATATGGATTCCTCAAGATTGTTAAACTCGAGGTTGTGAACTTGGTGCACCTCCAAGCAAGAGCTTATATATATGGCTACTCCGCCCCCAATTCCTGTTGTTCTGTCGTTGCGGAACAAAGTCATCCCAGGTAATGCTAACTCTTGGTCCGAGAACTGAGAAGATATCCAGGTTTCAGATATTCCTATCAGGTGGGCTTTATTAGCGTTGCAAAGTTCACGTAATTCATCCAGTTTGTTTGGTAGACTCGAGGCGTTCATATATAAGCAGTTTATGCTTTCAATTTGAAACGCGTGAGCTTCGTCCTGTTTTTCTGTATGAGCCTTATGTGAATGGACAGGTAGCCCACCTATGTGAGGTTTACCGAGGTGGTAGGCCCTGTCCTTTAAACGCTTTTTTATCATTCAGACAGTCCACAAGTGGAATGGTCAGCTCCAACTTGCCTTTGTGCTTGGTCCTGGCTTCATATGGCCTATCCGAGTGCATGTGGATTCCAGGTGGCAATCAACGTCTGTTCGCACGAAATGCCTCCAGAACTGCAGCCGCCATGTGGGAAGATGGGAAGGTTATCTTCATTAGATGGGGTCTAAGATCACCGTCCTTCTTGACTAGTCTCGTCACATGCTGAGTCAGTATGTGTTTGAGCCTCAAGGACTGTTTGATGAATTTCCATTCCCTAATGTCAGAATTTGATTGAGTATGGTCTGCATTTTCCGGTATACCATGCACAATTATGTTTCTTCCGCGGAAAAACTTCTCGCGAGATTCTTTAGGGATGTTTCGTATGATATTGCGCTCAGAGAACGGTATATCGGGCAATATTCTTACGTTACCATCTGATTTCAGCAAGTGACTTGCTAGTAAGACGTCCTCTACATCGGTAGCATTCTTAAGTGTTACTCGGAGAAGCCTTGGGTGATTTAGATGCTTAGAGTCCTTTCCTCCAGAGAGCTGAGTGACCATCGAAAGCTCTATTTTAGGAAGTTCGAGCTTCTTGTTCAATTCAAATGTCTCAGTCATCAGTCTTCAGTAATAAGGATAGTAGGTTGGTGAACCTGTGTTAATCCTGACAGATTGCTTCCGAGTGAAGATCCAGCTTTTCCTTGAAAATATTCACTGACGTGGCTGATACCACTTGTTCGGGTAAGGCGTTCCACTGATTGACTACTCAATGAGAAAAACGGGACCCCACTTTAAGTTTATTAGATCGTGGTTTATGAACCTTCTTGCTATGACCGCGGAGATTATTAATGCTGGAGGGAGCAAAAAGATAAGACATATTAACACCCAAATCATAATTAAAGATGCGAAATGCCAGTATAAGGTCATCTCGCGTCCTACGATACGACAAGGGGAAAAGGTTTAGGCTTTTTAACCGCTCAGCGTAAGGGAGTTTAGAAAGACCCTCCACTAATTTCGTTCCCACATTCTGGACACGCTCAAGTGAGTTAGTATCCTTTACCATACATGGGCTAGCGGCTTGGATACAGTACTCTAAATGTGGTCTTACGTAGGTGAGATATAAAATTCAAAACATTTCCTGGTCAAAAGATTTGAACGCTCGGCGAAGTGACCATAACGCACGAAAACCTTTGGCAGCGGCTGCCTTGCAATGCGCAGTTGCTTTTAAAATATCGACTTATTATTACTCCTAAGTCTTTATGTTCTTGAACGCATGGAGAGAGTTTACCATCAGTAGTATAATGCAAACTATTACCGTGACTGATGTGCATTAGTACACTCTTCCTAGCATTTATTTCCAAGCCCCACTCTCGAGCCCATCTAACTAAATCATCCATGTTAGCTTGAAGATTCAGATTATCAGTCCCACTTTTTATTGTTCTCCAGATTTTTACATCATCCGCAAACAATAATGTCGACGACCTGGGCAACAGCGGTAACTCATCAACGTAGAGAAGGAAGAG